CTTACTGTTGGAATTTTTGATAAAATTTTAAATTCTGTTTATCTTTTAAAAAAAATACATTTTAAATTCAGTTTATCTTTTAAAAAAGAGTTGATTGTTAGAATTTTTGATAAAATTTTAGGTTAAATTCTTCCATATAAACATTATAGATTATCTCTTTCAAAAAAAAATATTATAGATTATACACTAAAATAAAAGTTTCCTTGGTCACTATTCTTCAGTGTATACTGTTTTGATGTGTATATTATTTTATCCCCCGCGTAATGGTACATACAAATAACGATATCATCTAATTTATGTTACTTGTATAAGTTGTAACCACATATATCCTTTTATTCCTTCTTTCAAAACGAATACGGTACAAATACCAATTATTCATGCTCACGTACTAATATTAACATTTTGAATGTTTGTTCACTATCTTGATATTTACGTTTAAACATTGCAAACCTAAAAACAGGCCATGATGGAAGAGAACAAAAGATTCTGAATAAATGCCTCCCAAAAATTAGAAACGTATCTTCGTTCTATCTATATCTAAAAGAGTCATTGCCGCTGTCTCGGAGCTGGTCGCCTTGTTGCTCTTGAGCTTTTACATCAAATCTACTTTGAAATTTTTTCCTTTGGATAAACTCACTCAAGGGTTTGATGATATGAAGTGACCGTCTGACTCATATGACGCTTAGTTCTTGTGGTTCCGGCGGTTTGGGTCAAGAGCTTCAATGGCCTGTAGAGAGGGATTAAGATGTGTAAACGAGTAAAGATCACGAACGTGTTTTGAATTTAAACCTTTACCTGAACTATAAATGGCGAGAGGAAACCAAACATTTGAAACCCGTTAAGACACTCAAACCGTGAGAAAGTAGGAAAACCAAGACTTGTGGATGTACCTTTAACTCTCTGAAACACCATTTCCCAGCATTTTTGGGCCGAGACATTGAAGAAGCTCTCGCCTGGAGTAACCTGAACAACAGAGAAAACAAAGGCCTTAAGATCAGTCTTCATATACTTTCCAAGATTCAGTTTATCGAATTAAATGTTATGCGTAAAGGCTCTACCTTGAACAGTGGCCCCATGAGTCATGTGCATCCAAAACCTCGGAGATGTAATTGCTCGTTCTTGTTGCAGAACTTTACACGACAAGTAAATCCTGTAAAAGTTGCAAAAACCAGAACTTTTAACAACCCTTTGAGCAAATATCCAATTACCTCAAGAATATTGATTATCAAAGAGCGTTACCTTTCGGGAATTTATCATGCTTAGTGCACCAACGCTTTCCAAAAAATCAGGAACCCAAGGGTTATAGGCTCGACCGATGCACTATGGTTCTCTGAAGCAGTTGACTCGCCACTGGTGCTAACTTCTTCTTTAAGGTCGTCGTGACTCTTTAAGTTGAACTTTCCTTTCGCTTCTTCTTTCCGCTGATAACTTAACTAGTCTTTGTCTGGTCTTCATAACTGTTTTCAGTGCCCAAGACCTTTCAAGCCTATAACGGAAAATAATGAATCGACCCTTCCCTTTGCATGAACAGAGGTCGTCTGAGCGTAGTCTTCGGTAGAGCACTTGCAGCCCCAAGCCGAGAGATGCAAATCATAAGAACATGACAAGCGTTCCCTTTCATCGTTTGAATCAAGTCCTTCTCCATCTTTTTTTAACTCGAAGAATCGGTTCCAAGAGCTGCAATTCTTTCCTCTTCCATCCGTAACCGAGCCTAACAACGTTTTGCAAAACAAAAATGAACTAGTTAAGCATTAGAAAGTAGAAACCATATTCAGTATCATCGCAAATGTTTAGAGTATTTTGATTACCTGGATCGCGTTGGCAAGTGTTCGTTCTTCCCACAGAAACTCTTCCACCTTAACAGCTTCATAATCTGCTCCGAGGAGAAGTTGGTCATGAGACAGAGACTTGTCTCTTTACTGTATAGTTCCACAGTATTCTGTCCATGAGCCCCAATCAACCAGAGCCACATTAACCGCTTCTGCACACTTGAAACTGCAGTTGAATCCAGCATGATACCCCTGAATTCTGAAATACCCAATAAACCTGGACTCCGTCCTCTTTTAGAATTGGAGGAGAAAAATAAGTAACCTGAATCCAATACAAAAGTTAGTCTCTAAACACGGTGGAGACTAAACAGGGGGAAAAAAAATCAGACAAATGTTTTCTTCCTAACATAGCCTTCCTCGAACAAATCAGACAAATATTTTCTCATCACCTTCTCGAGAGTGGTTGCATTGCTTCCTGGAAAGACATTCCATGCTTTTGGCTTAGCTCAGCAAAGTGATGATAATTCAGTGGATATAGTGAGGGTCCTCCGCATGCTGTTCAAACACATAAAAATATATATCAACCATCTAAACGAACATTGGGGAACAGATTCATAATTAATCAAAGTGTGTAATTGTACTACTTACCCAACAAAATGATGAAAAGCACATTTCTACATAGAACCAGAAGTCCGGAGATATCACAATCCTCAAAAGCGAGTACGGACACACGGTAAGTTATTCAAGTTCCAACCAGAAACTATGCACTGATCCATACCGCTACTGGTTAACATTTGTAAAACCCGCTTCCAAGTACCGTTCTCCTCAACTATTGATGGCTTGACAAAGAGATAAGTGTAAAAGACAATGAAAAAGTCGTGAAACGATTAGGTGAAGGTGTCCTGCAAGATCTAGATGCAAAACACAACAAAAGTAGAAGCTTAAAATATGGTCAATTTGTTGGACTAGATTAGGAAAATGTAATGCAAGACGACACCTTCACCTAATACACAATTTCTGGACTCAACTGGGTCAATGACTTGACAAACAACAAGTGCAAAAAACCAATGACAAAGCTTCCACAATCGTTTGATCTACATAGCATCAAAAGACATCCGCAACGGTCTTGATGATGATTAAATTATGAGCATTATGACAATAAATAAATAAAAACAGAGAGTTTGCCCAAAGCTCTTACATTAGGATCCTTAGATAATAGACACTATAAAAAGGCAATACTTTCAAAGTGTTGGGCTGACACAGAGACGCAACCTTGGTCTACGAGTCCATATCGGCGCCTAAACTCCTCGGTGTCTGCAACTCCTTGGATACTAACTCTTCTCGTGTCTTTTGTTTCAACATTGTAGTAGAAAATGTAGAAGGGTTGAACAGTGTGCGACAGAGTCTGCGGGGAAAAAATGATTTCACCAGCCATGTTGGTTCCCGGGGAAGTCAAATTCGCCAAAGGGAAGGGAAGCTCAAAGGTTTGCTTGGACCAACCATGTTTCTCGACATCCTCTAGTATCCATAAATCAAAACTGGTGAATCCACGAGGGTTTCTCACAATGGAAGCTAACTTGCCTTTGTATTCTATCAATACTGAGTGACCCTCGTACACCACAACATCCCTAGGCGCTTGGATAAAACTTAGCCTCTCAGATCTAACATGAAAACACACAATCATCGGATCGGCTCTCTGTGTTGGGACCCAAGCAGCATAATACACAACACCATTGATACATAGTCCCGAAGTTACAGGGAGATAGGAACGGGAGGTAATCTGATTGCGTCGCCAAGAAGATTCTTTGTCTCCCTTAATCGTTACAACCTCGTGCACTAGAAAACCAGGATCATGAGGCAGGTAAGGAGGAATATACATCATGGTTAATGCTTTGAATTGACCATCAATAGGATCGTATCCAAGGGATGTGCGAAGTCCTTTACAGGGTACGGTAATGACTTGCCTCGTGGTAGGGTTACATATAGTGAACTGACTCGCGTCAAGACAACCGACAAAGCCATGGACGGAAGGACACTTGGAGCCGTGAGCTAAGGTCGCTGAAGGTAATGTCATGTCGAGATTGGCAACCAAAGAATCATGTGAAGAGGAGAAGATGAGCAAACGCTTGGCATCACCCTTGACGAATACACCGTTACTGACAACAATTGTAAACAGGGGACGCGTTGAGGACAAAGAGAAGAAGGAATCGACGAATCGTTGGCTTCGGATGAGGGAAGACCACATCTTCGACACGCATCGGAACTTGATCAGAGACTTAGCCGGCAATCTAGTCAGTATATCATACTCTAAATCAAGAGGGATCGGATCTAACTTGCAGGAAAGTAGATTCCTTTTCTTAAGATCAAACTTACTTGGGCTCTTATCTTCTTTCTCATGGCAAAGGAGTTTCCTTTTGTGGATCTTAAGATCAAACTTACTTGGGCTCTTGTCTTTCTCATGACAAAGGAGTTTCTTTTGGAGGGTCTTCATCACAAACTTCGCAGGCAATCTCATCATCTTTAGATCAAACTTAGTTAACCTGTCCATGTCGTCGTCCCTCTCGTGTTTCATGGCGGCTCCCGACCAAAACCCTAAATTCAATTTGGAGAAGACAAGATTGGGGGAGATCAGAGTTCTCGAGATAAGGAGAAATAAGCTTCCTATATTTTATTTTTATCCTTCCTTTTTTATTTTTTTGGTTTTAAAACAGAAAACAACACACCATCTTCGGACACAAGTTGAGGTTTCCATTTTCAATCATAAAAAAGAAATTTATCTCTTTTTTCATTTTCTTTTCCTGCTTAATGGGTTTTTCGTCCTTTAGGTTTAAATAGATTTGTATGTACAATATGCCAAGAAATATTCTATGGTGCAGTGGTTTAGTGCGTTTAAAGACTTTAGAGCATCCACAACGCATCCATCTTAAAAGGTGCTTAAAAAAATTTAATATTTATTTAATTAAAAAATTGTTAAGCGTGAAGCTTAAACATCTTAAGTAAGCGTCGACGCTTTGTTCTATTTCACG